GAGTTGCGAGATGTAGAAGATCTGGAACAGATCAATAGAGAAATGGAGAAGACTGAAAGATGAAGAGGGAGATAAATAAATGGTAGAATATCTGGAACAGACCAATAGAGAAATGGAGAAGACTGAAAGATGAAGAGGGAGATAAATAAATGGTAGAATGTCTGGAATAGACCAATAGAGAAATGGAGATGACTGAAAGATGAAGAGGAAGCTAAATAAATGGTAGAAGATCTGGAGAATATTGTGAGCTGAAAGATTAATAGAAACCTAGATAAATAAATTGAAGGAATAGAAGACCTGGTAAGAAGTAACTTTCCAATAAGGATCTGGAAGAGACCAATATATAGAGAACTGAAGAAGACCTGAAAGATGTGTAGCGACCTAAAGGAGACTAGAAAAGATCACAAGAGTTGAAGGAATAAGAAATAAAATCTAAACGAGTTTAGAATGGTTTAAGAAGACCTTTTTTTAGAAGCATACCAGAACAAGCACAAACTGAATTAAATTACTAGCAATTACGATCAAGTTACTTAAAAAACTGTTTCTTTTTTAACCACAAAAAAACTTATTTGTTAAAAGCACACTCTTTAGATTCGAGATTGGCTAATTAGATTGGCGTGAAACGAGAATAAACCGATCGAGAACAACTCGCTGTATAACGAGGTGTCGGCAATTAGTGCCCCTTTTCGTGGGCGTTTAAAGCACTCCTCCGAAGCTCCCTTTATAACTTTCGAAGCGAACCAACCGGAGGTACGCCTCTGAGGGTATCGGTATCGCGCCCGCTATCGCTACGTACCATCGAAAAGTGCTGGTAGAAGGAATTCGAGTAACGCCGCCCGATAATTCACTCCAGCGCTGCCAGTTAACGCCCGAGCTCGCGTCGGCGAAATCCACAACAAACGCAAACGACTCTATCGACACCAACAAATCACCCGCGCCGACGGCTCGCTTTGACAGCTGACACTTGACACCGCTGGATAAGTTAATAACGCCCCGCAGGAAGAGACACTCGCCGGTTCTTATATAGTCTCATTGGGTGCATTTTCTTTTACTTATTTACTCATCCATAGATCCACTATTGCTTCGAAATCTTAAGGAACCTTTCAGATGGACTTTCAAATTTTTTTCCTTACATTCTTTGTCTCGTCACCATTAGATTACTTATAGGTATCGTCTGAAGAAGATGTTAAAGATGCAGATTGGTTAGAAACTTTCTGCACTTTCCTTGACTTGCGTGGATTTTTCAAATCTAGCAGTGACTATATTGGTTCAAAAGCATCATTTTCAATCTCTTCTTATAGATTACTGAAGCTTCGAAACCCTTCTAATAGACCTTCAAATTTTCTTCCTTACACTGATTACCTCATCAGCATTAGGTTATTTATAAGTATCGTCTGAAGAAATTTTAACGATGAAGATTATTGCAAATTTTTTGGATAGCAGTGAGTAGGTCCAAAAGCTCATCATCTTAGCATTTTCCATATCTTCCTATAGATTCATTAAAGCTTCGAAATCTTAAGAAACCACTCAGATAAACCTTAAAACAAATCACCATTTTAGGTGACTTATAGGTACCATCTGAAGATGTTAAAGATGCAGATTGAGTGAGGTTCCCACTGCATTTCCCTGACTTTGGTGGTATTTTCAAAACGCCGGTATCTAAATGTGTGCCATTCGATTAATACAGGTGTTTGATAATACAGAGAACAGTTATTCAAATCTAGCAGTGACTAGGGCGACAGCAATGACTGTGGGAGGCGCAATCGACGCTCGATCGGAGCCAATGCAACGTATGGGTAGCGGAATTGTTTCCGCGAAAAAAACCGCGATTCGGAGAATGGAGTCTCTTATAAAAGCGACTCGTCGATTAGTCATTGCATAATGTTATTCAAATCGTCCGAGCGACCTCGCACGGACATTGGGAATAATAACGAGACGAGCAATAAACCAAACCGAAGCTGTTGTCGGTAGAAATCTGAAGATTTTTAAGAGCAATAACTGTAGATATATGAAGATTGTAGTTGCCATTCTCCTGTACTAAACTTGAAGAGTATGTTAACCAATAGTTAGATCGATAAGTTGATGTGGTCCATTGTTGACAAACTCATCAGCTCCCCTTATTAGATTCTCTGTCATCGCTTAAGTATGCGTAATATGCGCGAGATGCGGTAGGTATTGAATAATTGTTTCGCATTGAAGGATCGAAGTTAAAATAAAAATGTGTATAATTGGAGGTAAGGTTATTATCTCTGAAAGAATAAGCAGCGTCCATTAAAATGTCACAGTCAGGGTCGACTTTATCTGCCGACCGAACGAAGTGCTGATGCTACCAGGACAGTCAATGTCAATGCCAAGATCGTCTCATCTCGGCCTCGTGAGAGAAATATACTTCGAGAAGAATAAAAAAAATCGATCTGGGTGTTCTGACTAACTCCGTTTATCGAATCGTTAGATGTAGGTGCCTAATTATTATCGAACTTTATGTAATTGCATCGCGTGCTGTGATCGAACGGTGTCAGATAATTTCTAAAAATACGCGAAACGATTTGAGAAAATGAGCAAATCCTTATTACTACTTAATTACACTGTTGTTGTCTACAGTACACATTCTGTTGTTATTTACCTGCATACATTTTTTGAATTATGTGTGCATGTGTAATAATTTTTTTGCGCTTCTAAATATAATATTTACCTGATTTAAAGTACAAGCGATGTCTTATTAACGACTCAAATTCAATTGTACCTGCTATAACAAAAATCTTAATTTTTAATTGATTAATTAGACGAGTAGCTAAATCGATTAACACGCTTCTGCATGTTCGTATAAAAATCATAATAAACTCATGTATAACCTACCAATAATTAAATGTACACGAAACTGCGACTGTTTGCAGTAATTGCGAGGAAAAACCAGCTAGAACAATGCTATTAGAAACGGGCCCAGTTCGTTATTACGCCTGGATTAAGGCGAACTTAGCGAAATAATTAAAAAAATTTGCGCATCCGATTTAATTCGGATTGTCATTTCGGTTTTTTCCTACTGTACATTACCGTGGCGAGCTTACCTTGGGGTATTTTCTATTGTTTTAATCGAATAATCGAGAAAATGATTCCTTTTTTATTTATTACTAGAATTGTATTAATATTAAAATCGGTTGGTTTCTTACAATACTTTATCTACGAATAGTATATGTATGCAACTAACTTTCTAATCATCGAAAAAATTGTAGAAATATTTGTTGAGGATTAGAAACAAATTGGATAAATTAGCTAGTAAAAAAAAAAGAAATCTGGAGGAATTGATGGGTTTCGTTCGAGTTGTAACCACAACGTTAACCAACGAAACAAACCAGCGATGTCCGAATGCGATAACGAAAATCTAAGGCGAGACACCCGAGACAGAAAGGTAGTGAATCGCATACTTTCAGGGGACCTTTTTTCTTTGCCGTTACCCACACACACACACCGACAGGTAAAATTATGTTGCTCTTTTTTTATACACGTGTATAAAGTAGTATGTGATGTTAACAAGCAATAAAAAAAATTATTGCCGCGGTTTTTCGGGATGCCCGTCGGTTCTCGTTCCTCGAGAAATTTGCATTCTCTACCACCGAAAATCGAACGAGAATATTTTTGTGGATATTCACGCAAAGTTTTTTTTGTGTATCTATAAAACTCGCTTTCTATTAACAATAATAATTTTGCGTTAAAAGACTTTAACAAAGTCATCACGTAAAAACTTGTGTACAAATCACAATGCCCCTCATTGTCGACTCATTCATTATTAGCTGAGAAAACAGTCCATTCAAGTCTATTGACATCCAGCCCAGTTGTTTGCCTATCTCATCTCCTATATCTATACTAAATTTTCGGCCCTTGGCGGAATTGTTTATTTTAGAGATTAAACATGTACCTACACGGTGCTTTGTTAACGACTTAACGACTCACCGGAACTTTTTTTCTCCGGCTCTTTTCTTCGTTTCTCTTGCGTTCGAGCTGGTCATTTTTTTAGTCCTGTGCCTTGTGGAAGCGGCGGCGCTACGAATTGTGCACTGCCTATTTTAAGACTCGCCATTCACTGGTTTTTGTGGTGACAATCAGTTAGTACCTGTCCGGGCTTGTTTGTTGTTTGTCCGGCTCGCTCCGGTTAAAAAAATGTATGTAGAACGGAAAAATTTGTCAATATTGTCGCGGGTTAAACGCAGTAGGATAACAACAAAGAATCGATTTCGTTTGTAGTTTACAATGTATCTAGCTACATTTTCCTTTTGTTCTTGGTATAACTCAATGTTTCAGCTCTTAAAGAACCATTCAAACTATTATTTATAATTTGAAGCTTTCTTTGAGTGGAATTAACCAATTTATTAACAATTGTTGTCTCAATTCTCAATCGAGTGGACTGGGATTTGCTACCTGCGGAAATTAATGGTCGGGATTAAGGCAGACACAAAAAGTTTGCTTAATTTTTTAATGCGTTATGTGGAAATAATTTGCTAATTAATCGAGTTCAGGGTCGAATGTTTTGAAGAAAATAGTCTGAGGAATGAATACTCCAGAATTCAATAGGATAAAGTAATGACCTTTCTCGAAATATAGTTTTTAAATATTATCCATTTTAAACATATTGTCTTCAATAGGAGAGTTAATATGATAAGGTAAATTTAATGCTGTGATTTTAATAAGAAAACCTGCCATTACAATTTAGATCATTATTTTTTCATTTACTAATTATATCGTCTTAAAAGAAATAAGAAAATTAAATATCTCAACTTTTTTTAATTAAATTTTAAAGAGTAATTTCTATTTTACCGGTAATCATTGGATATTTAGTCAACAACCTCTAATAATCGTAAACAAATCTGAATATAATTCACTAAATGGCATGTTCAACAACGTTTTTAATGAATATTATATAATAAAATTAGCATATTTTTGTATATTTTTATAATTAATTATGTAATTAATTCTTTGTTAATTTAACGACCAATTTATGCAATTCAATCGGCCATTTAAACAATTTGAATAAAGTAATAATAAAATTTTCGGGATTGACTTGGAAAAGGAAATGAAACAAGACATTTCAACAGAATTTCTTTCTTTAGTCAAGTGCTATTTTTTATAATCGTATCACAGTTTATAATTTAAACAAAAATTTGAGGAATTTTCAGTCAAAAAATGAAGATCTCAAATGTCAATGTATATATTATAAAAATTAAATATTATATGTACAACTTACTGTAAACAAAAAAAAACACATTTAAATTAGAAAATAAATAAAAACGGACTTATAATAATAAATTAAGGCATTACAGTACTATAAATAAGAAATAAATAACATTTAGTTCAACATATAATTGTCTATTTGAAGAGCCCCAAAAATTAAATTAAGATACTGGAGATTTTTACATAGCTGTCAAAATACAATTTTCTTTTTACAAACAGCCGAGTCAACAAGACAAATATACAACGTGATTTTTTTACATACATATTAATATATAAATATATCAGTAGGAACAATTCGACTTATACAAGATAAAACAAACAACTGTATAAAAATTTTGAATAACAACAACACGTTTTATTCCAAAAAATTGTTTACAATTAGAGTCGAACAACTCTACAAACTCCAAACAATTTGTCCGAAACATCCCTAAATAGATATAAAAATATTTCATTAAAATCGAGTAAAAAATTAATAAATTTAATAATAAGATATAATTTGCACAAGAATCGTTGTAAATGTACTGTTAAAAAAGAAACTATTAGATTTGTTCCAAGCAACTATACCGAACCGTTTTGGATAATTCTAATGAATCGGAAATTATAACGATACGGTAACATTATTCGAACAATTCTAACGTTTGTGGGTGGAAAAATCGGAGTTTTATAACAAAGTTTCCAACTCGAAATTTATGAGAGTAACCACTTGTAAAAATATTTAAAAAAATTATACAGATTGCCTATTTTTCAGTCGGTTCGCGATTAGAATGGAGTTGTAAAATTAATCGACCCTTTTACAACAAGTCAATGTCGATAAAATCGATGTATTTTCATTTTCATCAAAAAAATCCACATTTGTTTTATTAAAATACAATTATAGCCCAGTTCAACTGAAAAAATAGAAAAGAAAATCCCCAGATGCTTTAGATGATGCAGTTTCTGCGGATGCAGAAACAGTAGTGAATATAAGGCCTTGTAAATTTATTGTATTATTGTGGAGCTTGTGATATAATTCGATAATAGTTGTTGTATAATATTTTTCGATTATATTCGAGCGTTGTATTGGTGGATAAATAATCCACCAGTTTTAGCGCATCGGCGGCTTTTCCGTTAACTTTTTTATAGTTGAACTGTACTACAATTTTTTATACCATTTTGTAATCTACGCAACGCGTATTGTCGAAAAAAAAACTAATACATTAAGTATCCTTATTTGATAAGTAATACTCGTTGACAAAATTTTAAGTACCGGGCGAGCTTTGCAAATGGAGTACTCGGGGAAATTTATCTGCATATAAAAAATTTGTACAGCAAAACTCGCTGCTTGTCAGCAAATTTTCCTCGCCGTGTTTTTGTATACCAAAAGACAAACGTTGTAACGACAAATTCGAAATTTAGCGGAAGGCTGTTTTTTTTTGTTTTCGTTATATATTTCCCCGTCTGCACTAGGAGTTAGTTTCACTTTAAGAGCACCCGTCCTGCTCGGCGTTCAACCGTTCGTAGAGGTGGTCCAGCGCCTGGCGCGCGTACTGGTAGTTGTTCAAGCACTCCCTGTATATGAGCGTGGTGAAGGTGCTCGTCATCGTCAGCTCGCCCCTTCTGAACGCCTGCAGCACCTCCGACGGCACGATCTGGCGTCCGCCGTCGGCGTCGTCGGGCGTCGCGACGCCCAGCTCCTCCATCACCTGCCGCAGGACGTAGAGGACGGCGCTGTTGTGGTCGCGCATCGCGACGAAATGCCCGTGCATCGGTTTCCCGTTCAAATCCCTAACCGCTTCCTCCAGCACCGTGCCTAATGTCTTCAGGTTCGCGTAGATCGACGGTAGCGTTTCGTCCACCTGGAATTAACCGGCAAAATGCGCACCACGTTACGTTTTGTACAAACACAAGCCCGTTTTGCTATTTCATATGGTAGAGAAACGGAGGAATGATGAACATATGGAAGGTTGTAGGAAATTGAGTGAAGGATGCAAAACTGGATATACATTCATCTGGATCAACAACTATATATCTACTATTAGTGATCTACAATTCTGCATTTCTGGAAATACATTTCGGGATCTACAGTTAGTTAGATTATAAAATAAAATAATCTTACCGTTAGTTGTTCGAGGACGTCTTGAGGAATAGTATCATCCACTCGTTTGCCAACGTTTGGCAACCATGCTGGTGTTAGAGTGTTCACCCAATTTGGGTATTCTGTCTGTAACAACGAAGAATGCAAAAATTAACCAAAACGCTACAAAAAAATACTCTTGTGTATGTAACTTTAACCTTGTTATTAACAGTCTATTTCAATTTAATGGTGAACTGTCCCGTTGCAATTTTATTTATAACATTGTCATAAGGATTAGAAGGGAATTTTGTGCACGTAAGTAAGGATATCGATATCTCGCGTTTGCATTTAAAGAGATGTTTTCGATTCGAATCGATGTTTTTCTAATTTTAATCAGCGTCCGTTATCTCGCTAACGACTCTCCTTTCTGCTGGTTAAACATAACATTGGGTTTTTTTTTTGAGATGTGTTTCCTGCGTGCATTTTAGTCGAGACGATGCTGATGCGCGAAATATTCGCGAGAGAAAATGACGAGTTTTATCACCTTTTATCTCAAAACAATTGTATCAGTTGCTCTCGGAAGAGCAGACACCTGTTGTTAAATGGATGTTGTGGCATTTTGCTGGGCGAGCTTTAAAGCTGTTATCGGCGTGTCCTTGGAGGACGTTCTCACAAAATATTAGACGATGAGACTGGGTAAATAACGTTTATATAAACAGTAGAAAAATTAGCTAGACAGTGGAGATTTTATGAATGTAGTTATCCACAATTTTTGGTCCGCTAATGGTAAAGAGAGCCAACAATTAACGTGGATATTTTAAGGATTATATGTATCTCAAGGTTGGCTTTTTTCCACGAACACCAACTGGGTCAAGATAAATAAACAATAAAGTCGATTTTATCCTTAATTTTGTACGAACTACAAGTACATTGACTGTAATAATGTTAGTAAACAAAAGCAAATATCGCCCTCTCGTAAATAAATTAACGAAAACAATAAACAAAACACGTTTGAAGGTAAGAGAATATACGCATATGTAAGTACAAAAAAATTTAATACCTTGTTTATTACAACAATTTATCAATGAAACTATGAATGGACGTATGCCGAAGGATCAGCTTTATTACGCCTTCAATAATTTACCCCAAAGAGTCAATTAAATATATAAATTAAGAAATTAACCAGTACGATTTCCTGATTAAACCCCTACTAAAATAAAATTCCTCGTGAATGACTAATGGCTTATTAAAATTTTTCGACTCGCGTACTTTTAATTGATATTTTAGAAGAACGAAATGAAAAAAGAAATGTTACTGCGTCCTCTAAGCCATTAAATATTCATCGTACGTACGTATTGTCTGATTACACACTATCATATTTTTCATCTTCGTCTAATGTCCGGATCGAGCCAATAAGGCGTCTCGTTCTATCGGATATAAATAACTTACGTCTTCCTTACATCCGGTAAAAAGCGTATTTTTTCCATTGCCATTAATGAAATAAATAACTATTGTTCGAAAGCCACTCGTACAGGATCGGATTTGATAAAGCCCGATTCACAGGATAATTTGAGAGTAACGTGCAAAATCTATTTCAGTACGGACCTGTAGTGTATCGATCATACGAAAAGGAAGTTAATGCAATTCTTTGGGCCCATTCTAAACTTCCTCTCGTAATAAACGAGTGTTTGAGATATACGAAAAGGTTGATAAGTAAATAATTTATTTGGATTTTTTTCTATTGTGATACAGGGTGAGAATAAAAAATGTAGATACTTCAGTTTAGATCCGAAAATGTTAAATAGTTTTAGGTTACTTACGAAGCTGCTTTTGTCGTTGTCGGCTAGAACTTCGGCGAGTTTGACTTGCGTTAAACAGTTCTTCAGCCATTTGGCTGTGCACGTTTTTCTAGTACTAGTAGGATACATCGTAGATGGCGCTGAATGTGTCGTCGGCAGGATAGTTAACATAAGATAAACTATAACTAAGAGGACGTTTTTGAGACCTGAAACAATAATACATACTTTAGAATGCTAGATTAACATTGTTTTTAGTTGAATAATCAGTGTTTGTAGAACGAGAGTCCACACGAAGGAAATTCCCGCGTCGTCTAAACAAAGAGAAAAATTCCATTCGAACGCGCGCCATTAAAACATTTCAGAAAAAAAGAGTCCCATTTTACGAGCATTCATAAAGCGCATATAACATTAACAACCATAATATAATGCCAGTCGGAGATGGTTTTGAAAGAAAGACACCAACTATATAAATATATTCGTGTGTGGACTTATCGTTGTGGACCGTGAGAAATTCCTAAGTCATCATCATCGGGTCAGCGACAGTTCGAACGAGTCCTATGATGATTACGATATAGTGTTTGATGGGTGCAAACACAATATGTATGCATTACTGCGCTAATTACGGGAGGAATTTGTAGATTTTTTGCACTATAGATTTATAGTAGTTGCAGGAGATGTGGCAATGCTGCGGGGTTATTTTGTCTTTACAGTGTTGTTACATGAATGAAATTTAAGCAGATCTAATGATGGTCGAAATTTTGCACCCAAATGAGTAGAATTAAATGCAACTGGTGGATAATTTACTGACAAAGAAATATTTGTTCGATGTGAGTTGTACTATCTTTGACATTTTTAATACTGAGAAAATTGTCTTTGAAAAAAATAGATATTATTGGGAGCATTAGAAAAATAGTAAAGGCATTTCCTCGAATTAGCAGCTCCTCTGTAGGTATAAATACTTATTATAGTTCTTTTAGAAAAACCGTAATGTTACCCGTTAAGATATAAAAAAACCCGTAACATTTAACAGTAAGTTCGTTACGAAAAAAAAAAACTTCTAAGTCTAATTAAATTAACAACCATTATCTCGGTTGGCAGTCTCATTTTCGAATAATTTTTATTTCATAAATTCTCCCGCTTTTGTCGATACACGTGCGTTTTTTAGCGATTTTTTCCGTTTTCCTGCCATTATAATTTCGCAAAAATGCAGTAAACGATCCGAAGACGCAACGATTAGAGCAATTATCGGCCATTTAGCGAATCCCAAAGTCATAGCTCATTCTAGATAGTCGCAGTTAAGCCAACAATAAAATAGATCGAGTTTCCTACACCTGGGATTCTTTATGTACTGTTTTGTTCGAGTATTCGAGCCGTATTTAAGGACACAAACGGTCGTTAAAGTCGTTTAAAAGGAATTCGAACTGTCATTACCTCTGAGTGTAACTATGAATCTTTATAAACTTATTCTCAACAATGATCTTTCCTTGTGCGCGTTTTTGTTTTGATTTCTTTTTTTTTTAATCCATCTAACATACGCGCAATTTCTCGAGATGTTGTTCCGTAAAAGGATTTTTTTTGTATTAACCACACGAACATTTTTCCGTTTTTATTAATTTTAGTTTTCGTGACTCTGGAAGATTTTTTATTATTAATTCGTCCTTGTTCAACTAATTGCCTGCGGTTGTTTTATTATGTATCATTCGATGCTTGTATGCTTTAGAAAAAAATCAAAACTTTTTATACACAATCAGATGTGTAATAATTAATTATTCGAAAAAATAAACTAGGAAATTTCAATATTATACAGAATAGATATAATTTTACCTGGTAAAGTTTATAACATTTTATTATCACTATTGCATCACCTTCAACTTATAGATAACAGATAGTACTAATAAGCGACAATGACACGAGGGATTCCTGTTAATGAAAATACCAGTTCATTCATAAGTGAGCTATCTTATCAGTGTAGATAATAATAATTATTAATCTTGTTTGTTTTCATTTTTGCCGTACTATTTGCATTTTTTTACCGTTTACCGGTTAATATGTAGTAATAATTACTGCATTCTCATATGATTTGTGCATATTTATTAACTGCGAGAATATTATACGATCACGTCGATAGAATTTTATATGAGTAAAAAAAATATCCACACGACATGGGATTGGAAAGAATAACTGATGTTTAATGAAAATATTTTAATCGATATAATTCCGTTGTTTATGTTAGAAATATGAGTAAGATGAAATAGTCAAAGATAAATGGATGTAGAATACATTTAGTAATTAGAAGATTATTTATATGAATAATATACGCACTATTACCTTATAGGAAATTAATCTATTATACACGAAATGTGTTTTTAGAAGTCTTCTGGGGTATTTTAAATCAATCCTAGACAAATCTGTTGTTAGATAATAATAGAAAGTTTGTTGTTTTGGGATTATATTAAAGTTACACTTAAAAACTCATTAATCAAATAATGCCCTTGTATATTTTGTCGGAATGTGATTGGAAATTTGACTAAAAGACACCAAATTACTCAGACTGACTGTAATTATACCTGGGGGGATTTACGCAAATTGTTCAAAATCCAAAACGCTATACAGGAAAAAATATTCCCGATCAAACATAACGACCTACGTTAACCAGAAACCTCTAATGCTCGCTTTCCACTCCACGCTGCTTCGATTTGACTCATACAAATTTCCCAAACTTCCACGAAAAAAACTAAATAAAAAAAAAAGAAAGCCTAATCGAATCGACCTTCGTGTAAAACACCCGAGGCGAATCCATCGTGAATCATCCGCACGGCGAGCGAGAGAGCCGGAAAAACTGTTCGTATATGTGGAACGGAATCTCGAATACCGAGAATCGCGGCGGCTTTTCGATTTAATCCGGCACACCGGAGGATATTCGTGAATTCCGCACGCAACGCAGGGAGACCTGCAACACCGCCAACCATTGGCTATACCTGTTGCTCGTTGGCTCCGCCTTCTACGATCCGGCACTCGCACGCATTTACACACACATGTCCCGACGAATTCCGAATCTAACTCACCTCATAGGTATTTTTTTTTGCATAGTTTTTTTTCGGCGATTATCGCAAGAAAACGCCGATTTTTGGGGCGCCTAAATGGTGCTGGTTCGTTTGATTAGATGTAGATTACTGGAAGAGTGCAAATGCTTGGTAAAAAGTAAAAATCATGCTGGTGGGATGATAAGGTGATGTAGCGATAAGAGTATATCAGGTGATCGTTGCACAATATGAATCATTAGGTAATAAGGGAGAAATAGGATGTAATAACAGGTTAGGTTGTATAAGAAGAGGTGAAAATGTATCAAATTTCTTGTATAGCAGATGGTGATAGAAAGAAGGATATTCTTATAAATCTTCTATTTTTTCTTAAATTATGGATTTATTGGGATAATATTAGATAATACTAATAAAGAATCCAAAGGCTTCTTTTGGATAAATAACAAGATAACAATGAAAACAATTGCTCTTTTTGACATTGTATAGAAATGTAAAGGAAGCATTTTTGATCAACTCTGTATACTTCAAAATAAAAAAATATATATAATAAAACGTCCTTATAAGTAGAGAATAGTTTGGTATATAACTTGTTGATTGAATTTGTCATTCTGTAATATTTGAAAAATAAAAAAAAATGCCCCAATTATTCCCCCCTAATATAAAATCATATAGGCTTATAACAACTTTTATATTTTTCCCATTTAATTAAATACAACTAAATTAGTTGAATGCAAAAAACTTACGTTGATATCTAGGTAATAAATATCTTCTCTTCCACAACAAGCAGAAATTAAACTTGTTGGCGTTCCTTCTGACTAAACTGGTAATAATACTGGCATTGCAACTAATACTGCTCGTCCTATTTGGCACAAAATTATCACTGAATAATACTCCGAGTATGGGCACCTTCGCAGTCCTTAAATCCCTATCCAGCATCCCTTCCGGATACATGACCGTAACTTTAACTGAAACTTAACCGCTCGACAAACGTGCAGCGTATAGTTTGTGCTATACGCTAGGCTGAAGCACGTTTTTCTAATTGACGGAGACCTAGTATTAAACTATACTAACCGTCGCAACGTCTGTCGACTTGATACTGGACAATGCGTTACCTCTAACTTACTATTTAAAGAGGAGTGTCCTCTTTAAGGCGGGTTTTATCAATGAAAATCCCCACTCTATATTAAGGGGCGCTCGACGTTTTATCTTGTTGTACACGAGGATGTTGTGTGAAAAATATTTCGTGTCTTTTCGATTTCGTCAATGGGATGTTTGTTATACTATGGATTTACTATCGGGTGTAATACTATGAATTGAATTTTTAGTTTAATACTTGTGCGTTTGCGGGGAATTTGTCGCAGGTCAAGGATGAGGTTTTTTGAATTACTACTCACTATTTTATTTATTTAATTTTTTTACTTATTTATTTTTTGAAAATTTGTTATGGGCTGTGAAATTATTTATTTATATTTTTTGATATAATTGATAATAATGGAAATTGCTAAGATATATTTTTATATTGTTTTAATTACACAAAAATTACTCTCGTATGTAAATATTAATAAAATACGGTTACCATACTTCTAATACATATTTATATTTATTTATGTATTTATATATTCATTAATTGTTTTGGTTTTGTGAAATGAGTGAATTTTTATGTAAGTGAGACTATACGGCGAGAAAACTAATTTATAATATTACCTTAATTAATTTTTATTTATTTCTTATTATTCTCAGAGGCATTTTTATTGAATTTTCATAAAAAAAAACCTTAAAATTGATGATGATCAACTAAAAACAATGAAAACAAGTCCCTAACAAATTGTCACTATATTATTAAATTATAATACTCAATTATTACTAAATTGATAAACAAAACATTCATTTTCAAAATAAACTAAAATATTTCTCCACAAATATTTGACCTCAAAAATTATATGCTTCTGACTCACGAAAGGAAAACAGTAAAAATCATAAATCATTAGCACATTTTTTTTTGAAAGATTTCGGTATTTTTCGCGGGAAATGTTGGATGAAATGGCCAACACTGAACGGAAGTAAACTATTTATAGTTATTTATAGGTGTATCTTATACATAATTCTAATAAGTTTTGGCATCAAAAGTGCGTTAAATTCCATAACAATTCCAACGAAAAAATATTTGCGGCATTGCCAATGTATAGATGAATAATAAATTTTAAAGTAAATACCAAAAGAAAATAAACGTATACCGGATTTTCCTATACCTAATTATGCACACAAAATCTTAATCATCTTTCTACTGATTAAATTTTATGAAGGTACTGTATAATATTATTTAAACCTTTTCAAATAGACATTCTTCTTAATTTGGTTGTATACGATGAGCAGAAATTTATGGCGAAAGAAATTCGTGTGTGATGCAAGTTCGAGCAAGTCCAAAATATTTCTCAATACACCTGATGTTTCTGATTCTGAACTTTGGACTGTGGAATCACCGTGTGGTCTGTTTGTTTTTGAATATTTTTACATAAGTTTTAATATTAAACCAAATTTCGTATATGAAATCTGGTATTATACAATATGGATTTTCGCGTGCGTTCTTTCGAGTACCTATTTCGCATAAATTAAAATTCCGAATACTCTAGAACCATTTCGAGTCCAAGAAATTGTATAAGTAGTTTCGGGTTTATTTGGGTTTTGATCGAAATAAAATTTCCTATATCGTCAAAAAAAGTTAATTTACTACGAAATCAAACACGTAGATAACTTATAACAAACCAACCAACAAACAAGTAGGCTTGTTTTAATATCAGATCACATTACAAAATTTGTGATGTCACATTTGAATCAATCAATTACATCTACTAAGTACACAAATTTTAACGTCATAAATGCGTTTGAAGTTCTACAAATCAATTAAGAATATTATTCAATAACAATGTTTTCTAGCAGCTGCTACACCTTACTTTTTATTAGTATTACTATAAAACAGTATTTTAGTAAAATTCAAATTTGGTTTCTTAATGAAGATTAGATATTGTATTAATTCATTATACCAGTGTCTCGTTTGGACGATGGAAAAATAGCTATCCAGGAGAAATACTGTGTACATTATTTTATTACACCGAAAACCACAAATTTTTTTGAAAGAACAATAAATAATTCCATCATCAATGGTACATCGGGTGGAGGACACTTGGTCGCCGCGGTTAATTTTACCCAAATTTAATCCTTTCTCGATTCGAAAGGTACAGGTCACTTGGTCGCCAATACTGGATTAACGGTTTCTAGGAAGGACTGATAGGAATATCTACATTTTTAAAATTCTCTGGTAAAGTTAGTATTTGAATTTCGTCGTACAAATTAATAAGGATGTTTATGTTAACGATTCGCATATTATTTTATTTTCTTGCGAATCAAATTTGACATATTTGTGCTCTCGTGACACAATTTATTGCGACGGCACATTTGATTATTGTCCCTTATTTTTTGTGCAATTTTTTACTATACACGCTATTGACAATGGCCATTAGCATATTTTCTCCTACAAAACTGCATTTAAAATATTAAAGGAGTATTGCTGTAACAATTTAAATTTAATTTGGAATCCATCAAAAGTAGTTTGTGGTTTTGAAAAAGCCCTACACTGACATAAGGCAAATTTGGCCCGACATTTTAGTTATCGGATGCCGATTTCATTTAAAACAGTCATGGTTTCGAAAAATTCAAATTACACATTCATTACACATTCGGCTTTTTATTTTTAGAGAGTAATGAAGTTGCAGATTGTTTTAGCCAAGATTTAATTCCTATAATGCCAACCGATGAACGATTACTTTCATATACTCTTTATATGATTAATACATAATATTCTAACGACTCTTCTGACTTCCCGCCTTCAATGTGTTGACTTTAGACACAGTGTATACATTTTTTAATACTAATACTTGTTAAATATATTTTAACATTTAAAACTGCATTTTGTTCATATTCTCTAAGCTATCTGTGTAGGTAGAGGTAACCAACAGCCAAAATTATACATGATTATAAAATCTACAATCTTGTCTAATCCGATTAGAATTATTTTTAATAAGATTTGACCGCGGCGACCAAGTGACCCATTAAATTTTAAAACTGGCGACCAAGTGACCGGTAGGATTATGGAACCCCGCAGACAAAATTGACCGCGGCGACCAAGTGACCAACACCGGGTACATCCTCCTTCGATCAGTTAATTACATGGGTTTTGCCGATTCCCGACGGTCATTTTCCATTTAAAGCACCAAGATCCATTTCACATGGTTAATGTTAATTTAATGTTTAGAACAAATACATCACAAAAAATATTATTTAACAATTATCGCTCACAAAAAAAAAAACATTATAAAATGAATTACGTCAATTGACGACACACTTTATCTACACAATTAGCCCACTCGATTAGATTTTAATCTTTCGCGAACGTACTTCAATTGACTCATTACTAAAAAATGCAATTAAAAATTGGGATTTGGTAAGTTGAATGGATATTTGAGCTGGTGAAGAAAGCGAAGAATCAAGTATATTATTACAAACAAATTATTTAGTAAAGTAAAAAATATTTTATTGCATAAATCGATAACTGCCGAATTAAAATCCTGTTTCTAATCGATGCTTCACATCCTTCTCGATACACTTTCATCGATAACGAAACGGAACCGTAGGTGAAATTTGGTTCGTTAAATGACGTATAAATTTGCACTTTTCGATAATCGAACAGGAAACAGGACACGAAAATTTCCAACTAATAGGACCTTGCATAATCCCTATCTACATCACGAGTTAAATATCTGGAAAAAAAACTGGAGCTCGAAATCGTTTTGAATTAACAAATAATTTGATCGAAGACGAATATGCGACGAAGAAAAATATAATGGAGTCGTTCTGAATTCCCGCTTGATGATGGTTTAATTATTTCTTTCGGTTGCTGCAATTATATAAAAATGCATAAGTGCATTAAAGCGACCGGGCATACGATGGGAATGATGATGTTATGAGAGTATTTAGAGGAAAAAATCGAACGATTACGACATATTTGTTTATTCGAAATACACATGTGGACGATTTGTGAGGTAACAAAACACGTGGTGTGGTCGCAACATTGTATGAATACTTACAGTTATAGGTTAATTTAAAAAATGCTCAGAAACTAATGGAATCTTCTATTCAATAAGCACAGTGTTAACAGATTAAATTGCAGCATATATTGGTTGGAAAAAAAATCTCCAAGGACGGGAATCAATGACAATTTTACAACACCCCCAATAAAGGTAGAAGGAAACAACTCGGAGGTCCGTTTGAGGTGACAATCGGCCCACTGAAGTACCAATAGAGTACCATAAAAACCGACTCGGCGTGCCCATAAATAATCGTAAACCGTTCGAAATTTAATAGAGTTGTTATAGGGGTGTTTGACAGGGGAGGTCCGTTCACCCAAAACGGAAATTTCACCCGAAAGCGTGGCGAATTCGTCAAAAACGGTAGGTGTTATAATTTGTATTGTGGGCGATTCCTACGGTCTACCTAAAAGGTAGCCTAAATAGCAAAATAGATTCCAACTACAAGTAAATAGAAAAAAAAATGTCGAACAATTAAATCGAATAGCTCTAATTAATCAGCAGAAGTGATACTAGTAATACAGGGTGTTTAGTTCAGAGCTTTGAAACGAAATTTTGTGAGGCACCCGACGTGTTAACAGGCGGCTATTATAAAGAAAATTATCCACGTATATTCAATCAATCGACTTAGATATTTTGGTTGATATTAAATCATCTATTGTGCATTTACAATTGCTCCATATTCACCGTTTGTGTTGCGGCATCGACAGAAAGGAAATCCACTTTTGAACGACCAGGTGTCTGCGTGTTCCGTGATTTCGTGGGTTTCGTTTGTACTTGAACTAGTTCGATTTCGTTGGGTTTGTTCGTTAACTGTAGTATAGTAAGGCTTATTGGTTTCCTAATCGAAATTATGCGGTACGATTGAATGGAAATCAAAAAGATTAAAGTATCCCGAAAGGGCGCCGAATTGTAACAAATAAATTGCTCAAAAACTCACCATAATACGAGTTTTCCTTATAAATC